AAGCTAGTTACTAGTAGCTCCTGGCATTACTACTCCTGGCATTACTACTAGGAGCAAAAAGCTAGTTACTAGTAGCTCCCGGCATTACTACTAGGACCAAACAGCTAGTTACTAGTAGCTCCTGGCATTACTACTAGGAGCAAAATGCTAATTACTTGTAGCTCCTAGCATTACTACTAGGAGCAAGAAGCTAGTTACTAGCAGCTCCTGGCATTACTACAAGGAGCAAGAAGCTAGTTACTAGAAGCTCCTGGCAGTACTACCAGGAGCAAGAAGCTACTTACTAGTAACTCCTGGCAATACTACTAGGAGCAAGAAGCTACTAGTAACCTCCTGGCATTACTACTAGGAGCAGGAAGCTACTAGCAGCTCCTACCATTACTACTAGGAGCAAGAAGCTACTGGTAGCTCCTGGCATTACTATTAGGAGCCAGAAGCTACTAGTAGATCCTGGCATTACTACTAGGAGCACGAAGTTACTAGTAGCTCCTGGCATGACTACTAGGAGCAAGAAGCTACTAGTAGCTCCTGGCATTACCACTAGGAGCAAGAAGCTACTAGTAGTGCTACTAGTAGCTCCTGGCATTACTACTAGGAGCAAGAAGCTATATACTAGTAGCTCCTGGCATTACTACTAGGAGCAAGAAGCTACTAGTAGCTCCTGGCATTACTACTAGGAGCACGAAGTTACTAGTAGCAAGTGCATTTCTACTAGTGGCGAGCTAGCAGTAGGTTGGAGGCCATCGCTACTAGGGTGGAGGCCATCGCTAGTAGTAGCAAGAAGCTACTAGTAACAAGCCCAAGGAGGCAACTTTGCCCAAATATGGAGGCATCAGACCGCACTGCGGTCTCACCACTCTATGTGTATATATATATATACAAATGGGAAAAAACATATAGGTTGCCGTAGGATCATCCAGGATTGTAAGGGAAGAATCTTCAGTTGACTCTTGCAAACCACGGCTACAGTTGATCTATGTTAATCTTTTGCTTGCCTGGTGCGCCTAAGACGGTCCGCGTCCACCCAGGGGTCGCGAGTGAACCTGGGCTGGCTGTGAACCAGGTGTGCCCATGGGGCGCAAATATATATATATATATATGTATATGTATACCTAAAATATCAGACAATGGTTGGATCAGCACGGCTTCGGACTTCGTGGCTACCGGCAACCATATCGGCATGCCCTGTGGAAGGGTGACTTAAGGTTTGCCGCTGGGAGATATGCTGATGGTGCCTTCTCTGATCTTCTCTGGCTTCTGTGTTCTTTAATGGAATTACTCGAACAACACAATCCATGTGCACACTCCGTCGCACTCCTTACTAACCATACGTCTGCCAAACAGGCAGCAAATTCGACTCTAGGCTGCCCGTCACGCCAGCACGAAAAGGAAGCCTGTCGCGAAACTGTGGCCAAAATCGTCAAGGGACTTTGGAGCTTGAGCGAAGGGCTTAGACCATTGAGTCAGGATGTACAAGCAACAGTTGCCAAACAAGGAAGAAAACCTCCCCACCCTAACTGGAACGAACACGCTGTTTTTCTCGGGCCCCGTGCCTCTGCCACGAAGGCTGGAACGGCCGTCCATGGCCCATGGTGCAGGGGACAACCGACTCAAACTGAAAGCCCTACAACATCGGGGGGGTAGGAGCAAGGATGCTATTAGGGGCTCCTGGCCATACTACTAGGAGCAAAGGGCATCGCTACTAGTGGCTAAGACTTGGATCATATTCTCAATCTGGAAGCTACAAGACCTAGTGACCAAGCATCAGGCCAGGAAGCCCCCGGTCTGTAATTAGCAAGGAACCAAAAGTGCCCGTGAGGAGTCAAACAAATGAAACGGGGCGGGGGTGACATCCATAATCATCATATCATGAAACGTGCCACTTCACAAGTAAAAAGCATGTATGAAAACCACTTCCCCAGGAATGACATCTGCACACCGGGAAATGTATATTGAGAGGGCGGAGTACACAACAGTCCACCCCGGGCAAGGGATCAAAAAAAATAAAAATGCATCAAAAATATAATTCAGGGTATCAAGAAAAAAA